CGGACTAGCACTAAGTCCGTGAACGATGATAGTTCTAGGAGTGGAAGCTACTAAGACGAAACACAGGACACAGTCGGCTATCAATCTCTCAGGCCTCCCAAAACACGAGAGAGAGAGAAGACACGGGATTTTAGTGGCGTTGAACACAAGTCACAAGTCAGTTTACAAGTTTCACTCTGAGGCTTATATGTGACTCACAAATAACATCGATCAATGCAAGGAAAAGATTGTACCAATCAAATACACAGTGAGTAAAGTTCAACCGGTCATAGGCCACGGATCAGACGGACGGACAGAGTGAATATTGCCATAAGACGCAATATTATTGATTAGTATTGATTAGTATTGATCCGAGATGACCCTAATTAGGGTCAAATGTGTTGTAAATTTGTTCCATTTTTTCACAGAATGAGCAGACATGCAGCCGTGCTTATCTTGGGACGAATAGCAATGATCTTTGTCCCGACAGAATGCAACCGCTTTATCACTACCCTCCTCGTCAGCCATGTGGTAAACAGCCATTCATTTACCAGCGTAGAACACACAAGAAATTCAACCAGTTCATACCGATCTGTTAAGCTACTGAACCGAACAACCAACTACCCTCAAGGTATCGTCAATAACTAACAAAGACGACCGGCAGTTCGATCAAAGATTAGCGCATAGTCCACAGCATGATCAGTAGCAGTCAACTATAGTTTCACAAGTTGTGAACAATGCAAATGTTGTGAAAAATTAATCAAGAGTCACTCGTCTGCGCCGAGTATCACCATGGAAAGCAATCGAAGCTGAGAAAGATATTATTGTTCAACGCCTTTCGTGCAGTATGATGTCCGCTGTGCGAGTTTCACTCTCCTCTCAACTGTTGTTGTTTCTTCCCCTATCACCTATCACTACTATGAAACAGGTATAGTGGTATGATTTCATTTGATACGATTCCAACGAGATATTTTTGTGATAAAATTTTATGGAAATTTCTGAGCCAGAAATATAAGCGATACAGAGTTTGAAATTCGAACAAACCTGAAAGACGGCAAAATTTTGTCGAGGTTTGAACATGTTCCCCTTGTGACTGACAAGTTTGCTACTCTGTGCATCCAGACAATCCGAAAAACGTGATTTGTCCACTGGACCTGGATCGCTGGGCCAGAACACCGATTCCTTGCCCATATGTGAGGTCATGTGATGTCGACGACCGGATCCAGTTTCACAGGGTGACAATTTCTCTCCTACTCACAAAACGTTTATGAAGATTGGGTTTGGAAACGGAGCGAAAAAAGAATTTTCGTTCATTCTAAACGGCAAGATTAACCGAGTCAAACATATCGCAGGGTTAGAAGGGAACGGAACAGGTATAAAATTGTTTATTTATATGGCAAACATCTATGATGTTCTCCATTATTGCAGCAATCAAGTCGTCGCCCCTTCCTCCCTCCCTCACACATATACACAGGCCCGCACGAATAAACGAGATTTACTGTTCCTGGGTTGATCAATCGATCAAGAGATTAGTGGCGAGAAACAGAACAGGACTGACTAAACACAATGATCATAGAACCATTTCGTTTCCCGGGTTTGGTTTTCATTGACAGTACGCAGAGGAAAAGTAGGGTAAACAAACTTGTCTACCAAACCGTATTCTAACATGATTGAACTCCTGTAGAGATGCTTTCTTCTGTGAATGTTGACTACGCACGGGACAATCCGCCTCGAAATAGCTTGTTCCGTTTACTCTTTTGTGCAACTCTTTATTCAACTCTATAACAATGTAATTTATTTGATGAAGATGGCAAGTAGTTTTGTAGCCCCTCCAGGTATTCCTGGCGGCCTTTTCATAAAGAGTTCATCGCATGTTTTTTACTATCAATTCCATATGCAACAAGGGGCCTGATGTCGCCTTAGGTTACAGTCACATACACTTGTGTGGATAGTGACTATTCTGCAAATGCTTACATCATCTGAGCAAAAATTACTGCTCGTTGTTATCATGTACTTGCACGTCAAAACACGCACACGAACAGTGTACGGGACCAGCATTACATCTTTGTTCTTAATCTATTCTTGAGTGACCGATCAATCGATCGATCGAGCTGATCAGAACGTCCATTCTCAGATCAGCTGGCATCAATATGCACAACCACCTTACAACTGATCATCTGCGTTCTAGTCTTTTCAAGACACAAAAAACTGTGATTTCGTGTATGGACTGCTGATTGGCTGAAAAAAGAAATAATGTCGCGGTTCCTGTATTCTGCATGATTGATAACTAAGAAGGCGGGCGTACCACTTGTCAACCGTGCTCTTGGGTACCCCTTGGGTTTATGGCATGCTGTTTCCTATGCCTTGCAGGTTTACCTTTAACACCGACTCACGGAGGAACCGTCTAACAGTGTTTATTCGCAACACCGTGCCTCGGTTGTGTCGCTACTCTTACGGCCGCTGCCCCGCAGTCGTTCGTCACCCACTAAGTCTCATATCTTTTCCACTTGAAAGAACACAAGCCACGAATATCCTGTTACACACCTCTGTCTGTTCTACTGCAATGGGAGAGCCCGGAGAACGTTCGCCTCACATGGGAATCGCGTCATATTTGATGATCTACAATATCGGATGCGAAAACGTGAAAATACCGATGACGGGTAGAGTCGTCGAAATCGTTTTATTTGATCTTGCTACCATACATACAGCGCTACTGTCCGGGGTACGATATTTTCCGACTCGTTTGTTGAATATAGGAACCGGTCGACAATGATCCGCAATTTCCTTCGTGATTTATTCGAAGGGTAGGATTTTGATCGGTAGAAAGCGGATGTGCCTAAGTTGTGTTGGAAATGAAAGCATCATACAATAAAAAAAGTTCAGAACAGTTCCGTTGTCTGACGTCCAGTTGGAATCGGTCCAGTTATGAGGAACTTTGCACAGCCTGAGAATGGTGTTAGGATCTCTCTCATGTTGTCTGGTTTCACTTGTTTCATGTCTGATTGGTGTGGCTCATGCAAGCCACAATGCCTCGGGAGGAAAACAGTTCGAGGTCGTTATTATCATCGTATACTGCGTGGACAATTTGATCGATCGTGCCTGAAAGATCAACGGGTAGAGGCCAGACAGAGCTCCGTCTCACAAAGCCAGTTGCCTGGGCACCTCCTGGCCTCCTTTTCTATCCACAACCGCCCGTGGATAGGTCACTCCAGCAAATGAACACGGTGAGGAGAAGTTTACCGGTCAAAAAACCCCGTTAGGTGGACGTATGAGCGGGGTACTTGGGCTTCCTCTTGACGGCGGGAGAAGTCTTCGCACTTTATTGGACAGCTACCGCCCGCCCAAGCTGGGTAGCCCATAGCAAATAAGGTACTGTCCCGGCCACATTCCGCTTGTCTCATTGGGTGCATGAGGCTAAGGGTCGATCCCGAAAAGGGGACCGAAAATCAACGCACCAGCGAACAACACACTGAACCTAAACCCGAAGGCCTTGCATGACAGGTCTCTAGAAGCTCCCACACGGGTGCTTCATTCACGCTCCCGCGTTGGATTTACGCCCCTCTGCCTTGTGGGTCAGACTTTTGAGTCGAAGGCTCCGGTTAGGGTTCCTAAACAAAAACCCCTTCGTTGGTGGGGGCTACCGCTAAGTATGTCGTGCCCTAAAGTCTTAGGCATCCATTTAAAAAGGCCTCTTTCAGATCTTTCTACTTCGTCCTCTCCATCCCGAATAATCCCAGACTCCTCCCCTGTTTACGCCACTCAGCCTTTTACCAACAAGGCCAAACAGCCAGTTACAGGATTTTTGAATCCCTTTTTACTTAGCCGCGCTCAATCCCCGCACACTATCAGATTGGTCAACAAGCTGCCTTGGCTAGAACCCTTGAAACTTTCCATTAAGATGTATGCTGTGTCTCCGAAACACGCATACAAGACCCTAATTCAATCAACTCCTTGCGTTCTCCTAACCCAAACTCATTCTAACGCTTCACCCTCAATGTGTCAGGCGATTCGGTATCCGAAGCTTGCGGTGCTGCTTGAGTTGGGATTGCGCTGAGTGTCAAGGCTGCGCGTTCACTTCTCGACTAGATCCCGGTTAATAGCCGAATTCGCGCTTTACTTCTCAACGGTTCGGCACGGGTCAACAGCTACAGAACGAAGCGTCTATGCATATTCGTCGTATCGGTGTATGCACCGACCGATTGCAGTACACGTGAAATCAAGAATCAATTCAACTAGGATCTTTCTCAATTACTCCAAATTGCTCGATCAACGGACGTCGTTGTGGTCGCCGGTGACATAAATGCTCAAGTGGGATCCCAGAACGAATCAGAAAGACATGGAATCCCAGCTAACCGGACTGACAACAGAGAACGCCTATTCCAAATTTGCGCTGACCACGGGCTGTTTCTGTCAAGCACCAACTTCTCGTACACGAAACGACACCGCCTTACATGGAAACCGCCAACCGCTTCACAGCGCTGGACTCAAATCGACCACCTCGCCATCATCCACCGCCGGCGTGGATCCATTGGAGACTGCCGCTCCTATAGAACACCCGTAGACACGGACCATGCTTTGCTACGAGCGAGATTTTCCCTACGCCTGAAAAAAAACGGCAGAAAAGCCACCGGCAACGGATGCCCACGATATAGCGTCAGCGATTGCTGCCAATCGGCCTATCAGATCGCCTCTCAGCTCAACCATCAACTGGAGGCCTCAGTGAACACGGAACAACAATCAAGGAAGCGATCCAAATGTCAATCAAAACAACGGCAGATTCTGGTACACGATCAAATAAAAAACGATGGATCTCCCCCACCTCGGTTGCCCTGCGGGACGCTCGGAAAGCTACTCCTTCGGATTCAAAATAAGCGCCCAAATCCTTCAAACACCAACTAATCAAGAGTCTGGGGAATGATCGCGAGAAGTGTTGGGTAAGAAAGTGTAGAGAGGTGACAAAGCTGCGGCTATCGGTAATAGTCACAATCTTTCTCGTTTATTTAGGAGTACAGGACCAAGGAGAGTAGGCGTGAGGTAATTAAGGGGTGTGACAGCACACTGATTCATATTCAGGAACGTCGTATTGAACGTTGAGAAGAACATTTTAAGGCACAGATCAGTTGACCTCCGTCTACACAAGACCTTCACCAACCCTAGACACCCAACCCCGACCATACTGGGGCTACTAGGTGAAGATCCAGGTAAGTTACAAACTTTTCTAGATAGTTTGAGTGTTGGTGTATCCATGTTTGTTATGCGTTTTGTAAAGTGTAAAATGCTGCTACCAGATTGGGTTGTCTAGCCCCCATTCTCACCAGGAATTAAAAAGTAATAGACGAGGTAGATAAATTTTGCTATCTGTGCATGCATATCTCACCTGGCGGACGTGTCACAGATGAAGCGTCGGCATGCATTTGCCAACATGAGACATTTGTGGCACCGTCGCGATATTCGACTGTCCGTGTTGGGTCGAGTGAATGCTACAGCAGTTCAGCCAGCGGTGCTATACGGTGTAGAGACTTCGCTATTACTGGAACAAGATAAAAATATATTGCCGGTGTTCGAACACCGCTGTCCACGTCGCATTGCACAAGTCCAGTGGGGAAACTGGACAAACAATGCTGACGTTAAGCGTAGAGTTTTAGGTAATCGCGTTTTTCCACTGGATCAAGTCGTCGACCTATATAGATTACGCTGGATGGGATATGTATTACACATGTCGACTTAGACTGCCCTGGCGAGCGAGGGTGGCCAAGCTAAGACCTGGCATAAGGGCATGCAGACCCTAACCAGGAGTATGGGTCGCATAGGTCCCATTAGGCTCTCTGGATGGGGACCTCGAGATCATGATCACCGATGGTTAGCGACACGGAGTGATACGGCTGGGTGTCGCAAACAGTGGCGCTCATGCATCTACTCATTATTCTCTTAACGCCAGTCTATATGAATTCTTCATCTTCCGCTTCAATTTGCTTTCAACAATCCAAACTTCATCCTGCTGTTTTATCCAAATGGGGCGCCAAAAGGCAGCAACCGAAACCGGCGCACGAAGGTGCATGGTTAGTGGTTGTAAAAACTACAACTGCATGATTGGTTTTGGGATTTTCTCTGAAGTTCTTCTCGATGATTTTTAGTTCTTCCTCCACTAGATCCTTCGAGCAAATCATTCAAGTTGTAAAGGCTAGACATTGAACTAACCTTCATTTAATTTTGCTTAGGACGAAACATTAGAAATGAGTGTATTGACCGTTCCATGTTGGTTTGCTAACAATTGAACAGCATAACTCTCCACTGGCTCCCCATCGAGGAAGTGAAACGCATCCTGATCCTCTGTTTCAGTCGTAAAGCTGATTGACTGGTGAGCTCGATTAAAACGATCCAATATCATGTTCGTTAAATTATTTCGATCGGAAAGGATAAAAATATCGTGGAGATAACGGCAGTATAGTGGGGATTGATGAATGATGTCCCGTAGTTGGTTGTTTTCCAGTTTGGTTACGAACAGCTCTGCAAGAAGCGGGAACCCAAGGCTACACCATCCGTGTGTCTGTATACCGTATCAATAAAAGAACATTGTCTATTATATATGCATCGCAATAATAAATAGTTCCCTCAAGTTCGCGGTTAGAATTCCAATTTGTATGTTTTCCTCATCGATGTACTGACAGAGATAAGATATCGTCTCAGAGAGTGGCAAATTCCTATGTTCAACGAGAGCTCATTATCGTGTCTTTACCGTCTACGTCTAGAATAGGACCGACAAAATCGAAAGTATCTTTCAAATTAGTTTTGCAGATTTTCTTCCTGATCGGTTCCATGATTTTTACTAACCATAGAGCGATTGAGTGAAAAGGAGAGTTTCGCATATCCAGCACCGGTCCTAATGGCGTTCCAGCTTTGTGAACTTTCGGTAGGCCATATAGTCTAGGGATATGAATCCCAATTGGTTTTGGTTGTTCGTAGTCAGATTTCTTTGCAATTTTTATCTTTCAGCATTTTGAGACATTTAACGAGTTGTCGTTCCGCTGTTATTGATATATCTTCCCCTTTTTTCCTTCACAAACTTGTAGCTGTCGTTTAGAATTATCATCATTTTCTCATTATTTCTCATTATTTCCTTCATGATTCAATAGTACAACTCCTCCACCTTTGTCGGGGTTCGATATCGTGATTTCCGTATTCTGTTTCAGTTCACGTAGTGCTATGGCATGTTTTCGACTGAGTAGGCATCCACGTGATACTTTCGTACAACACAGATAACGGACACATAACTGTAAATGCCTGAAGACGAAATTACGACACAAGAGTGTTCGCTATATTGTTTGTTACTTATTTGTTTCTAAAAGATGATCGATACCACGGTATTCAAAAATCCATGAAAAGAGTAAGTAATGTGGTCGCTCCCAGAGAGAAGTTTCAACCATTATTTGAAAAAAACAAGAGTGGCTCATACATCCAGCCCGTAAATCAGGAATTGGTAGAAGCTGATTACCACGTAACGTATCTTAGTTCAAACACGAGAGAGATGAGTACTGATAATTTCTGTTCGCGCTTCAGCCATTTTCTGTGTTATTTGCCAGACGTCCCTCTGAAATGCTGCAGATCCGCGGAGAAAACAAATTCGGTCTACAGTTTTTTTTGAGTGAGCACTGTAAATCCAGTCCAAAGTCAGATGGATTTTCCGTTGTGTATTGGTCACTCAATCCCCTCCACACATACGAGTGCGTGCTCATAAGTAGTGGATGGATGCATGCGATAATGTTCTCACTCATCTCCCTGGATTGAAATGTTCAGCCATTTCATTAGAATGTCGATTCGATGTCAATTTCGGTTGAAGCATGTACATACCAACATTTTACTAATGGGAACATTAGGCGAGGATGGTTGCGAGATTAAGATATTTCGAAGGTGAAAATCGTCGTGTATATAGCAAATGAAGCGTGAACTGAAAAGCTAGGAAGCACTAGACAGTTGTTTCAACCTGGTTGGGTCTCATCAGCAGTGAGAATCCATTGACCCAACTGGGGACCGGACCCGGGACCTCACAGGCAGAACGCAAGCGTGCTACCCATTCGGCCACCGTTTTCCAATTTTCCATTTACACGATATAGCACAACCTATCTTTGCGAGCTTGTTGCGGGGATCGCGCATCACTCATCTCAGCACTAGCCTCCGGGTTATGATTCGGCTGGAAACTATCATAACCTGACTACCTGTTACATAATCGATCTCCAATTGAGTCGGTGCATTCGCATTACTGATGAGACCCAATCAGGTAGAAACAGCTGTACAGTGCTTCCTAGATTTTCAGTTCAAGCTTCATTTGCCCTATACACGACAAATTTCACATTTGAAATTGAATCAAATTATCCATTACTCAAATGAGATAAATATATGCTGGAAGGCGATAATCAATTGCAGTGTGACAGACCGATACACAACCAAGGGTTGGATGGGCGAGTGTGGATCGAAATCAGTGCAGCCACAGTCCAGTTTGACTATTGCACGGTCTAAAACGGATGGTTTACCATTTTGCTGTTCTTCGCATTAAACTTGAATTTAATTGTTCTCACAGCTTCAGCACGGAGAACGCAGTGAACAAAACCGCGAGGGCCCGTAAATGAAAATACAAGTTCGTCTAAATTTCACGTACGGATGAAAGCGATGACAATAATTCACGGTCTGAAAAAAAGCAGCTCACCAAATGCATCTGGCGTGTTGGTCCTTGCGGATCTCGGTGACTCGGACGGCAACACAGGGAACTGACCAACAGCATTCTGAGCCAAATTCGTTCGAATCTCCAGGCTAGATCCGGACCCCGAAGTCGAATGCCATGGGGCCGAACTAGCCCCTGAACCGCGTAGAGCACGTGGGCCTGATGCAGTACCCTGTCCGGGAAGTCCAGTCCAACCGCTCAACGAGACCTCGTCCATCCCAGTCCTATTACCCATGAATGATGGCGCATTATTGCGGTAGGTCTCGCTCACATCCGAGGCACATGTGTTTCGGCTACTGCGTCTACTGGAATCAAACGAGTGTTCACCAGTACTGAAACTGCTCCCGAGAGTCGCACTCCCAAAGCCACTCGAATTATCGCTGGACGTGCTACCAGTGCTGGTCGTACAACGCAGTGAAAGACGTCTTGAGCACGAGGAAAGCAAAAAAAGACAGAGTTTGAAAGGAACATGACTGGAAATGAAGGGAAAACGACCGGAGAGAACTGTGAAGTTTACATAATCGTCCTTCTGTGAACTAACTCCATCTTTTCTACGTGACTCGCAAGGTTGACAACTCGTAACAGATTGATAAAATGAAGTCGATCGAATGATGTGATGAAACGCTTCTCATAATTGTTTTCAAATCATTTGAATTTATTTTCACCGAATGATGCAAACTGTGGAACAGAAATGGTGTGGTAGTAAAACTGTTTAATTGTCACTCTGTGATTATGCAGCTAGGTATAATGAACAGAACAAAATAATAAACAATATGGTGACGGGAATCAGCCCTAGCCTCGGGGACTTGGCGTCAGTGTCCTCTTAGGGTCGGGGTGCTCAACGGAAAATAATGGAGCTGCCTGCCTGGAAACATTGCTAAAACCTTGAACCATAAGGCCCGAAGCACGCACGACTGCCTAAACTTTTTGATCACCACCGTCACCATCACCGGCCTCAAGAAGAAATAAAATGTTGCGCAGATTTCATAGAACTAAGGGACTGGTAATTCATGTGCTAAAACCATTCGGAGAACAAATCAACTCGACTGGTCATTGGGAGGGGTTATCTTATTAGTGCTCTCGAGCTTATTCAATACTTTAAGAGAGGTCGAAAACCACACCACGGATAATCCCCCGAAGGCGTCCAGCAGAGTGGAGGGCCTTCCAGACAATGTCCCATTCATTAATGAAACAACCAAATTGTTAAGAGCGAGGAAAACTTCAAACAGACATTACACATATATAAACACGACTGGAAAAAAGTTAGTGAGCATATTAGAAGGACTGTCAATGTTAATACGTGTACCAAGACCAAAGTACAATCATCAGCATGTTGTGCGCGATCCAGACAAAACTTGGTCCCCAGTATCTGATGAACAACAATGATACTGTTCTTCTCTATAATCAAGACCAACGTGATGAGGGCAGAAAGCATATTGAAAGAGCTGTTTCAGAATTACATAACGCACGATAGCCGGATACACCTTGGGTCAGTTTAAGCGTACACACAATCACACAACAGTATTCACTCTTCCCTCGTATTTTCAAAGTACTTCTGCTCTTAGGGTACTAGAAAGACATTCGCAACCGGGATTTCGGGAAGGGCATCTTGTTACCAAATAAACAATTACATTGGTTGCTCTTTGGTTCCAGGCACATAACAACCGAAAACTGCTGTGTAAATTTCCCTGCTCCCTCCACTAACGTTATCATGATGGAGTCATTGAAAGTCCGCATATGGATTCTTCTTAAGATAGTGAAAATTAATCACACAACAATGACGGTGAGATAGTCAAAATATTCTGTTTATCAGCTGTCATCCGTCACTGGAAAAGGAGCAGTCCGATAAAAAGAAATATCAGATAGTTTATGAATAACACATAAAATGTAACCTCGTATAAACTAAATACTCATAAACAAATCACATACACACTGTGGTTTCGAAGACTTGGCATGGAAAAAGCAAGAAAATATTTAATTTGTTAAATTCATGCCCTCGAGGTATTTGCCATCGACCGTAACCTGAGGGGTAAGGGTTTCAGTGCCCCGCCCAAATTATCGTGGCTCATTTCCCTGCAGAGAAATTAGTTTAATCAAAATTATCTCTAAACTTCCCACTGGTATCATACTCCGTCGATTGTCCACCGCACACTTCAATGAGAATAGATAAGATTGGCTGTCTTAACTTTACGACTTGCCAGTCTGTCCATGATCGTAGTGGGGGCCACGTACAATCAGTCAAATGACACGTCTACCGGTGCACGAACAGAACTGCACCGGGAAGAATGGAGTAGACTGTTTAATCGATAAAACAACGAATATTATCACGCCTGATTCTGTCATGTTGAGAGCATGGTTCAAATAGCTTGTGATGTGTACAGCTAAACTGTCCTATTTGCGTGTACTCTGGAACACTGTTGGGGGATCAGGGTTTTACTCCGATTGCAACCCTCTACAAGAAATGGTATCCCCGATTGCTTGTACTTCAGCATTGCCGAAAATTCTCGGATGAATGCTGGCAAAACGAATGAATTATCGATCTGATGCTTATGGCTTTCTGTAATTTGCTTCCAAAACTTCACTTTCGATCCTTGATAACTTTGTCTACATCGTTCACCCCATGATCCCTGGCACCGTTTGACTAAATTTTGGTCATTTGACCGTATCCCTTCGATTCGATACCATTCTTCTGATTGTAGTTAGAAACCCGAGGCTATTCCTAACGTAGGACAAATTACCCATTCTAACGGTAGAGCTTTTTAGCCTTTAAGAGGGTTATCGGAGAGTTTTCTGTGGAATTTTTGTTTTATTGCTGTAAGGAAATAAGCTCAACTTAATCATCTGCAGATGTGCACATGAAGTAGTAATTTGGTGTCTTTCGATTGATCTGGACACTCCAAAACAGTAGCAACAAAACTCTCCGTTGGTGTTCAAAGAGGGTTAATATCATAACTGTGTTGTTACTTTCAGTCCTGAAACCGACTCGAAAATGTGAAAACAAAGTTTGGTAAATGGTTCAACTTTAATTGGCTATCTTCTTCTAATCCAATTGTGAAAATATCACTCGTTTCAGTGGGATTCGAACCCACAAATGAACGCCAGATTTGTACAGCGTGCGCTCTGCACACAGATCCCTCATCATTTCATATTTGGTCGTCCACTTGACTTTCAAGGTCCTATGGATACACCACCTAGCATGTAACTTGACGGCCATGGCAGACTTCGCCGATTGTCTTCATGCGTTTGTAAGCTTCAACTGTTTTCACTCCCCAAAAATTCAATTCCTAAATTCATGACTGAATTCATTTTTTGTCTCATTAGCTGTATTGTTTTTCTATTTTCCCCAACCTGTAAACAGAGACCTTCATCCTACTTTCAAGGTTCATTAAGCTCGTTTTCCGTTGCACTGGTGTACCCGAAAGAAAACCATCGTTGATTTCCCAGTGAAAATAAAATAAAATGGACTAGTTGACAACAGTAAGCAAGTAGAACAAAAAATGAACTGAAGACTGAGGAAAAGCGTAAACAAGCAATTTCCAGAAGCCGTTAAACATGAATTGAACAATTAACCTTGCCTTGAAAGTCCAACGAGGGGATTCCGGTGGATTCTAAGGAAAACCTGCCGTGGCAGTCAGCTTATATGCAAACTGGTGGATTCCATTTGCTTCTGTAAGTTGGATGTGGAATCGGAGCTCAGCGAGTAAAGCGTGCGCTGTACAAAAGAGGTGGCATCCGTGAGTGGGTTCAAATCCCACTGAGGCTGTTGAACTTTTCACAATGCAAAACAATAATTCAACCTGCCACCCAACGTAAATTGAACATGGGTGTAATTGCTTGTGTTCAAATTCAAAAATTCAATAGGACACTGCACATTGTGGAACCAAACAACCGGGTCCGTCACATTAACCATCGAAGATAGGTTACACGAGCAGGGTCATGTAGGGCATGGTTCATTTGGGGTCAGCGAGAAGACGGGACGAATGTATGCACATTGAGCTTGCCAAACACGAGTTGGACAGAGAAACAAGTAGCAGTGATCTTCGACTTCGCCCTAGCCACGTAGGAGGTCTTCCGCCAAAACTAATGAGAGATGGACACGCGTATCATTGAGCTTAAAATAGTGCCACCATGGTTTACTACCACATAAAATAACAAGAACTAAAAACCCAATAACAAGCATTGTGACAGAGATGATCTGACCGCAATGCACTTTGTTAGAAAAGTACAGATGAAGCACTCCCAAGAGTGGCTAACGGCACGACAGCAGGCACTCGACGTCTACCGACCGAGCGTGCGAACGTTCAGCTCGTCAACAGACAGACCTGTTTTCTCTCGCTGGGATCCTCACTCATGCACTCTCGTTAAGTTATTCGGCTTTGAAGGCACCACACAAAGCATAACAGTGAGGTGTCAACGATGGACAAAGACCAATTACGCGAAATTGAACAAATCCAGTTCTGCCACACTGTAGCAACAACCCCCATTGGTATCAGTACAGGACAGGAAACTCGAACGGAGATGTAACGAAGACCTCGAAGTAATATTGCTGTGCTTGGAAAAAGCAAATCATTTCATGCGATGATGGTTAGACAGGTCATGCGTTCGGATCTCTCTTTGATTGGCCGCCTCCCTGGTCCTACATAATTACCCAACCAAAGACAGAATGGTAAAGTTTAGCTCTGACCGTCAGTTTCCCAAAGATCATTGAGGAAGCTTACAGAGAAACTGGAAATGGATAGAATAATTACACTTGAGACAGCAAACAGAGGTATGTGTGTCACTGTGTCACATGGCAACGTAAAGTCAGGCACCTTGAACCATAAATTGGGCAAGGGAAATGCACTTGAAACCGAAGGCTTACTTGTTCTAGCGTATAGCTTGATACCCTCAAAGCATTTGGTTACATCGTGGACTATACCTGTTCCACTTTAAACGAATCCGTTGTAATCCAACCAATCGCATTCTATTGAGGACCCCACAGACTGGTCGATACTTCCGCCATCACCGGTCACCGATTGGATCGGATCTATCAAAATCTCGACTGGTCAGAAAAGACTGATTTCTCCACAGACAAACAAAATTGAGTGAGGTTGAAATTTTTGGTAGGGGGAGGGTTGACTGTTGTTCCCTCGGGAAATTTCTGTCGTTGGCCGTTGCTTGAGTGCGCTTCAGATGAGAACGAACGAACCCGGCGAGAAATACTGTGCCACATTTTATCGCATATTTGATCGCCAAAGCAGAAAAGGAAAAAATATCCAACAGTTTTGGTACCTTTCCCAGCAGTGCTACAGTGTAAATGAAAGTGATCCAGCTCGGTAGAAAGGCGTGTTAGATGTCAGACTAGTTTAGTGCAATCGAACATCAGTCTGACCAATAAAATTCCATCTTCGGTGTGTTGACGAGACACAACCATGGACCATCACGCTGGTAGGACAAGTCAAAAAAAAAATATGCCGCACATGGTTTCACATCCTCTACACGTACCTCATCAGTTGTGTTTGTTGATTCATATGATAATGAGCAAGCGGGCCTAGGTTGCTCAGCGAATTGGACCAGACCGTGTGCCAACTGGAGCGTTTACGACGATCCATCGGCATATCCGTACCGAATTGATCTTCATCTATCCCGGAGACGGGAGTCCCACTGTTGACCGTAGCTCCGGCGTTTACGACCGATCCCGTAATTGTCCCAGTAGTTGACGGAGTCAATTCTCCACGTCCGAACGCTTGCCAGTCGTGGTGTTTCGCTAGCCACAATTCCGGCGGGGAAGAAAAACCGATATGATTTCCCTGCTGACTCACATATTGCAGCGCACCGAGAATACTGGAATGCGGGTCGGAAACTATTGCAATCGGTTTTCCTAATGCAGAGAAATTGAAGGCAAGCAAAGAGAGGGAGTTGGAAGAACGAAGTTCCAAATACTCACATATAGGACGAAGATAGCGTCACCCTCGCATGAAAAACTCCCCTCACCCATTTAAATACACATACCAATGTTGATATCAACAGCCCTTCAATCTGTCAGAAGAGCATAAACAGTGTAAAACTGGTGATGCAACTGAAATTTCAGCAATTTCCATTCTTATTCCCATTAAAAGTAAGAGTTACGTTGTTAATATTACAACATTACATCACAACTGATCCTGGTACACAAGTGAGAGCTATCAGTTGTAATAAGCTCACAAAGGTTATTTGCGCTGAGCACTGTACATGAAACATATTAACTTGTCTGACCGTCTGTTCATTTTCCGGAGCAGTATGCTGGTGCACTACCCAGTGGATTTCGGGAATGCGTACAGAGGAAGCTACGTGACAGAATTGAGATGGATGAATACTATTTCCAGGTTTTCAGATTCAGTTTACTATGAACTGATTGCAACTTGATCATTCAAGAGTGGATACCTTGAGGAGCTGTATATTTCAAGTGAATGCTTTTTGAACATGGAAAGCTGATAATTAAATACAGTTCACAAAAGCGGACACAATTAAAACATCTGCAGCAGTTCAGTTAGGTTTTTACAACTGTCAGTTATGCATCTACGTACACCGGTTTTGGCTATTGTCTTTTGGTTGCCAGATGAGTGTAAGTATACTGACGTACGGTGTGTATTTCTTGGATTACAGTGAGATATTGAGTAGATTTGACATGATAACACTCCTTTCCTTCCTCTCTGCCTCAAAATTCAGCCCACGCCTTCTGAGATTAAATCGACCGGTCACTGTGGTAGGTTTTTCACTCTCATTCCCACTTTTGACGTACTCCGGGGAACATATTGTCACCCTTCGTATTTCCATCCTGTGTATCTTACACGGGAATTAACAGTGAGCTTGAGGATGATGCGACTTTTGTCTCATCTAGTTCTTATAAAGTAGTCTTGCCCTACGGACAACATGAACTTTGTTAGATTTTCGAACGGACGGACGATTGTAAATTGAGTCTGGCTCACTTCAATCACTTCAAAAATACATACACCTAGCTAAATGTGAACTTTATCTCATTCCTATGGAAAACTGTTCTCGTACAGCAATAGATGACAAACAGCTTGAGTGCCTTCCCTCTGAAATTTACTTTGAGGCGACCTTAGACCATAATCTTGCATGAAGCATATCCGTATGGCATATATTCTTGCAATCCAAGAGACCACATTTTTTTCCGTAACACATGCTAAAGCACTTTCGGTGTCAAGGTTTCCTATAATGCGGTTCTTATATTCCATGCACCTTACCTCACTAGCCCCCTCCCCTCCCCCGTACTCATGCGACAACTGACCTCCTCAGATTTGCTTTTCAAATCTTTCAAGATAATTTTCAGGTCTCTTGAACATTTATCATTTTCTAGCGGTATTAAGTGACAGCAGTTTTTCATTTCAAATGTCCACATAAACAGTA